GTCACGTGACCTCAATAACAATTCAGTTTCCCCGCTAAGTTTAATGGGAAAACTTAACCCGTTAAATTCAGCAGAAAAGTTTTCCGTTATAATTTAACGGATAAATTTTTTTTAGCGGAAAAATTTTCCGCTAAATTTAGCAGAAACATTTGCCCGCTAAATTTAGCGGAAACATTTCGTGTAACGTGCCCATGAACAAATTCAGCGGCAGCAGGAGAGGAGGAGGAAAGGAGGAGGAGGAGGAAAAGCGGAGGATGAGGGGGAAGCTGAGGAGGGGAGGAGGAGGAGAGGAGGAGGACGGGAGGGTACATAGGAGGATAAGGATGGCTATACACCAACTCATGTTTACAAACAAACCGGAGCGCCCGGAGCGCCCCTAGCGGACGCCACCGGCGCCGCGCATGCGCGATGGGGGTGTGGGCACGAAGCTCGCCGTCGCCCATAAACAAACCATTGAAATGCGATGTTGTTGGCCTCGGTATGAGTCCCCGCGCTCTTTTTCGCGTTGGATTTGTTGATTCTACGTCCTCCTAACGATGTCTGACTACTTGAGCGGCGTCAGCGAAATTAACGAGGCTCGTTACACCGCAAAACTTCGCGTGAATGATGTGACATGTGGCGATTCATTCCGCGTGGACGCCGCAGTATGTACGCTAATGCCTGATTCACATGTTGAGATTTCGCTCGCAATTTTCAGTAGCGACGTCGCTCTGACTGCAAAAGCGTGAAATGTAGCTGAGATGGTCGACGTCGATACTGAAAATCGCAAGCAGAATCTAACCAAGTGAATCAGGCAGTCGGTGATGGCCACTGGTAACAATGATCAACATCTCCTTGTATCTACTGTTTACGTCGAGCCTGCTTACCAACCTTCAAACTTAAGTCTTTTGAGGCCTGCACTCACTTCTTATCGCAAGTACCGGGCCCACGTTTGGTCTGCGGGCCGGTGTCCTCTAAAAGAGCAGACGACAAGCAGAAACGTTTGAAAGAGCAGACGACAGTTCGAACGATCAGGCAACCGTTTGAACTTGAGGACGCACTGAACGTAGTCCGCAGGTGGTCCGTACAACTTGACGGTTTTCCGGCGTTCATTTTGGAACAAAACAAATAAATCGGATGGCCAGAAGTATCCGTGAATTCAACCCAAAATGCTTCCCGCCCAAGCTATCGTGGTCCGACGGCGTCTGGTTTTCCCTTTTCACGGCATTTATCCACGTTCTCGGACGAACCGAGCGCATGAAAACTGACCTTCAAACCTTTCTCGACCCTTTTGGTACAGCCCCAGTCGCAGCATTTTGACAAGAAGGCAGGTTTTTGTCTGGTTCCTCTAAAAACAACGCAGAAATACACGTCTCAGATGGGCTCTTCCGCCCACAGCCCCGGACCGGAAGTGCGTCCGACGCGCCACCACCGCGCCGTGACGTAACAGAGATGAGTTCGTGTATAGCTAGTTGGTTTTGCACCATGGTGTAATACGCCAAAACAACAGGGACAAAAAACGAAGAGAGAACTAGACAGGACGCGGTGTAACTTTCAACTGAATTGTTTATTTGGATGACAGAATTAAAAAAAAAATATATATATATATATATATATATATATATATATATATATATATATATATATATATATATATAAAAGCAAGCACACTTGGCAGAACACCAAAGATATGGTCTAAAAACAATCCCCCCTCAAATGCCAGCGTCATTGGTTCTTCAAATAGTAGAATTCTTTATCAGTCAAGGACAAAGAGGGAGCGCTTATACAAGTATTGTCGTGGTGGGACCTAATCAGGAAGGCTTCGTGAATTTCTCTCGCCGTTTTTGTTTTGTAATGGCCCATGACACAGGTGTCACCAAAGATGGGGCTGCACTTTTCAGAGTTGGGCCCGCAATCGCAACGGTCACAGTGGACCGCTATATAAGACGGGGACTGCCTGATCGCCAACGCATGCTCTCTGACCCTATCCTTAATGCACCTCTGTGCATTAGCATTAAAGGTGCATTAATGATAGGGTCAAAGAGCATGCGTTGGCGATCAGGCAGTCCCCGTCTGGTCACTTAGCGGTCCACTGTGACCGTTACGATTGCGGGCCCAACTCTGAAAAGTGCAGCCCCATCTTTGGTGACACCTGTGTCATGGGCCATTACAAAACAAAAACGGCGAGAGAAATTCACGAAGCCTTCCTGATTAGGTCCCACCACGACAATACTTGTATAAGCGCTCCCTCTTTGTCCTTGACTGATAAAGAATTCTACTATTTGAAGAACCAATGACGCTGGCATTTGAGGGGGATTGTTTTTAGACCATATCTTTGGTGTTCTGCCAAGTGTGCTTGCTTTTATATATATATATATATTTTTTTTAAATCCTGTCATCCAAATAAACAATTCAGTTGAAGGTTACGCCGCGTCCTGTTTAGTTCTCCCTTCGTTTTTTTGTCCCTGTTGTTTTGGCGTATTACACCATGACACAGGAGGAGCAGGGGCATACCCTCCCCTCCGTACCCTCCCGTCCTCCTCCTCAAAAGCTGCGCTATAGTTTCGCATTACAGAGATTTGTAAACATCTTTCTTTTTTTTTTTCTTGTTGTAAATCAAAACATTTTAGAGCTTTGGCGTTAAAAGTATGTATAAGCTCCATATTTCAAGAAACATTATGTCCATGCTGAAACTTTATATAATTACCTTACTTTTTTACGGTTCCTCCTATAATTACAAGACGAAAAAAAAACGCAAAGAAAAATTCGGAAAACGCGCGAATTCATGATTTTGCGCCTAGAAACACGAAAAAAATTTGAAGCCTAAATTTTTGTGAAGGTTTGGGGAAAATGTTACAGGCAACGTAACTACGTTAGCAGTTACTCGAAATAAGTAATCTAACTACTCTAATCGTTACGGTTTCGGTAACGTAGTATGTACTGCGTTACCGAAAAAAAAAGAAGCTGTTACTGGTCACAGTACTTGTAACGCTCGTTACCGCGAACACCGTTCTGCGCTTACTTTCGAAAGCAGGTAACTGAATATGGCAAAATACACCCGCCCCCACCTTCCCCCCCCCCCCCCCCCCCCCCCAACCATTTTTTTTTTGCCCAATCTTCCAAAGGTTAATTTGGTGATATCTCACACCACCTGGTGAAAGCTTCGAAATTGCAGAGGTGAAGCAAATAGGCAAAACAAAAAAATCATACTTCTGGTTTTTAATTTATAGGCTGGGTGGTGCAAGCCACCACCCGTTATAAAGGTTATAGCCGTTAGCATCTATCCATTCATCCACCCATCCCTAAAATCAGTATTTGAAATATACAGGGTGTCCCCTAAAGATATTTGCGGCGTCTTTTTCGCCATGAAAGTAAACCACGCATCGCCGAAAACCTAGTTTCCGTCCAAATGTTGGCCTAGCCATAGACCCTTCTTTCGAAAGCTCCGGAAAGAGGCGCTGTTGGCAATTTACGTCCCAGCGAACTTCCGGTCAAATAAGGGTACCAACAGTTCTCACCATATCCACGCGTTTTGTAACGTTCATGAGATATTTCATTTCCAGTTCTCCAGGTGGTATGCTAAGGGACCCGTGAGCGAGATATTTATCGAGGATTATTTATTACTCCTGTAAAACGACCGATTGCCTTTTATATCTCTAATAACACAGCATAATTAAGGACTTCGCTAAATCCCCAACTTCGTGATTTCAGTGGAACTTTATCGTCCACGACATTTTGACATCTGCAGGCTCGGAAAGACTGCCGAAACGAAGCGACTGGAAGTGTCTTGGTAGACAAGAGACGGCTTGTGTTTCTAAAAGTTAAATGAGTCTACACATCTGGACCAGATGCCAAAGTTTCAGACTTAAGCGTTTTGCTATTAAAAAGTAATGAGATTTTCCGACGATTTCAATTGGAAACTGGGGCCCGTTTACGATAGCTGACGTCGTTGTTGGTCGCTGCAAGGAACAAATTATGGCACACAAACGCTAAAATACAATATCCCCAATTTACTAAATATTTAAAAATTTTAAAAATTGTGACAAAATTACGATAAGTGAAATTATATCATTTTTTATGGTTGCTTATGATTATTAGTGGCATTTACTAATTTTATGCTCCTCTATTGTATGCATTTTGGTGACATTTGTATATCGTTTTTTTTTTCGTATATTTAGATTTTCTGTTGTCCATCCGTCGCTGTACACAGCAGGCGGTCAACGACACGTTAAGCTGCGTATGGAGCTTTTTTCCTCGATCGCCGCCGTCAAGTTGTGAGAGAAATAAAATTCAATTATTATTATTATTATTATTATTAAACAGCAACAAGCATTTGTGGGCTTCGGCGGCCACCATTTTCTAGTGACAATAAACAATTTTCAAATTCCATCAAGCAACATTGATGGTCGCCATTTCTTAGGGCACGAGGCGCGTGATTGGATCCGAGCGCTTGCCGAACGCTGGCGTGGTACTCGTATCCAATACGAGCTGAGCCCAGTTCACGCCGAACTCTTACGTAATCGTCGTGTCCAATGCTTGCTCACAGAACGTGATCAAGCAATGGGGGACAGGCGATGAAGCGGCCTTTTGAAAAATGTCTATTTCGAAAATCGCTTGTAACTTCTGAATCAGAAAACGACGAGCTCTCAAGCTTTGGCATCTAGTCCGTACAGCTATAAGATTACATTTGGAGGGAAAGCGAGCGTTTGGCAACGCGTAATTTAGTTTTGCAAGAAAAAAAGAAAAAAAAAAACATTGCGATGTTATTTTGGGGTTGTGTCGCACCGACGACACACTTGAGACAGAGTTTGTTTCTGGGCTGCAGACGCGGCGACTTTCGGAAGCGGTTGAGATCGATAACAGGGTGGTCGTCTTCACTTGTCCAGATTATGCTTAGTCATGTTGAATTAACCTGAAACTGGGGTAGAGAAGAAACATCAAAACGTAGAAGGGACAGAAAATAGACAGGATGACGTCTCAAGTTTAGGTTATGGTATTGTCTGTTTTTCTCCCTGCCTCAGCCTGCGGAGTGGCTAACCGCTACGGCCAAGGTCGCATCGTCGGCGGCTCGCAGGTGTTCGCCAACAAGTTCCCATGGCTGGTGAGTTGGGGATTGGTGATATCTCACGTTCTCTATAAAAAAAAAAAAGAAAAAAGAAAGGTATGGCAAATTGCTGGGTAATTCCGTTGGATTCGCGAAACATTCTAGCGTCACAAGCGTTTAGCGACAGCTGCACCTCGTGGCAGCACCGATATGAAATCGGTATCACGGAAAGTAAATGTACCGCTGAATTTGGTAAGAAAGCTGAATTGGTGTATAGGTCACGTGACGTCAATAGTCTCGCGAAATTTAGCGGGGAAACTGAATTTATGTAGATGGTTGAGCGTGTTGGTAAAGGTGTATCCACACGACGGACCAAATTGCTGTTTCGGTCCGCGGGCCGCGCATCACGTGATCTTACGTCACCGGTTTTCGAGGTCCGCCGGCGGTCCGCGGCCCGCGCTTGTGAGAAAAGCCAAGCGACATTTCTCGCCCGGACCTTGGCGGCGGACCGCGGCGTTTTTAGTATAATTGAAGTGCTAAGTCTGGCAACAAGCTGACTTTTGTTGTTTGGATTGGAATCCAAATCCCAAGTCGTGTTCTTTTGGCGCCAACTGTTGAAGACGAAGAAGACGAACCTTTTTGTTGTGTGACGATGGCGGCATGGTGCAACGATGCAACTTTTTACTTCATCGCGCTAGTGGAGCAATTCCCCGCTTTGTGCGCAATAGATGCATGCCCTTTTCGGTTCACTTAAGTCCTCCTCGTCCTCAATAATCAACGCCAAGGCCACCGCGGCCAAACGTCTCTTTCGTTCAACCTCCATCTTGGCTCCTTACAAATAGCCTCAAAGCAGCTCGCTGCATGCGATTGGCAGAGCTGTGAGGTTGAGGGTTAGACCGGCCCGTTCACTCTGTCGTCTGCTCTTTTGGTCCGCCGTGTGGATGCTCATTGCAGCCGGGCGGCCCGCGGGCCGCGCATCACGTGATCAATCGGTCCGCGGCCCGGTCCGTCGTGTGGATACACCTTAATTAATTTAGGATAAGGAAAGCGGGAAATTTAAGGGGTCACACTCCCTGGGAAGGTCAACTTTTGAACCCTTGCCTTAAAATTAATGAAATTTACAGAGTGGGCTGGTGGTCATGCTAGAGGATGCACAACAAAATTTCAGGTCTGTCGGTTAAGTGGGAAGGAAATTAGAGCAGCTTCTACCAGCAACACGCCTATATTGTTTAGTTAATTTACCGTCGGAAAACTATCACTATATTCAAGATTTTTATTTGCTAGATATGTAGCATAATGCCTAGGAGGTGCGGCTATGAAAAGTTTTTTGTAAAAAGTAATTTATTTCTATCAATTTTCTCTTCTGCGAAATTGGTCAACTTTTTGGTCTTCTGTGTCTTCGACACAATGTCAACATTTTTCATAAAAGACATTCGTAAAGTGACAAAAAACTTCCCTAGCCGCACTCCTTATTAAATTTCAGTCAGAAAAAGTGCAAAACGAGCCTTCCCTGTATTGCCACTATCAAACGATAGATTGACTAAAATGGAATGTATACCGAAAAGTGGAACGAAAAAAAAAAATGCATTCAAAGTGCTTCAAATCCTACCTTTTCTTTAGCTTCGGTGGACAAAAAATAAGTTATAAAAAAAGTAACTATGCAGTGTAAACTAATGAAAATTTTTGGGAATACTCTCTAGATATTGGTGGATGTAAATATGTTATTTTTCAAAATCAACATTTTTTGCAGAATTTTCAAGACAGGCTTTCGACTTTCAACAAAGCGTCTACTGGTTCGACTTCACCTCCTGAAGCTCAACGGGGGGCGTCGGGGAGGTAGAGAGGGAGGATGATGGGTTAGAGAAGCGCGAGCCATGTGGCCCTGCTCGCAGCTACCTTTTACCTGCACCTCCTTCATCGGTAGGGTGACCACCTTCCTGCAAGCGAAATGCGGGACAGCGGGGCAGTGGGGGCGGGAGGCAGGGGGGTAGAGGAAGTTTATTAAAGCGCACACCACGAACCGAGGCTCTGTTAACACATTTAATATCCTGTGCTGTTTATACACCTTCTAATAGGCCATATGCGAAATGTAGAGCGCCATCTAGCAGCGCGCCGAGAACTACGTCCGCCATCTTGTTAGTGGCGAGAAAACGAAACCATGAGACCCGACCCAAGCGACCACGCTTTGTGCGAGAGATGCGATGCCAACGATGCAGCGATAAATCTTTGATTTGTGCGTGACGTGAACGCAAACGTGAACAGGGTTCACCTTTTTTTCTTCTTTTTATTTGTTACTTGAGAGGCAGCTTTTAACAAAAACAATCGGTGACAACGCGAAGAAACATGCAGACGTTATCGCGCCGCGTGAAGCCATACAACTATTGAACTGGGCTCTAATCTTTTCACGAAGTTGTACCCAATTTGTTTATGACCTTTTTTTCTCTTCTTTTATGTACGTTGTAGTGTCGGCCTGCCTTTTTCTTGATGCGCAAGCAGCTCAATGCATGCGGACGAGACCAGGTCTGTTAAGCGAGGCAAAGAAATGGCAGTTTTAATAATCTACGCCACCAACCATAAAGCGCGAAACACATGTACGACGAAACCTTCCGATCCGACGTGCGGACTGCCGGAATGACTTTGGGGGGAGAGGGCTTTCGTAGCATCGGAGAGCGTTGAAAGGCCATCGCCTCCGACCGTCGTATTGCGCGGTCGGACGTCGGATCCGACGGTTTCGTCGTACATGTGTTTCGCGCTTAATTGAAGATGCGTATGATTAACAGCGGTATGGTTAGGTTCATCACAGAGGCTAAAACTTCGATGTCGGCGGCGGCAAAGACTTACGTTGCGGACGTCGAATGAAGCAACACGGACGGTGCCAACTTCATTTTACAATTTCCTTTTTTTTTTGTCACAACCGAGGTAGAAATTTTGTTCTGTGCAAAGAAGCTTGGCGGTAGTTTTGAAAAAAAGTCACTGCAGTTATTCTGTCCGTGTTGAACAAATCTACATTAATAGCGTAACATCCGTCGACTGTGCTTGAGGTCAATGCAATCTGTAACCAATTTTAGCCCTTTGCAACGATTGAAAAATATTGCCCAGGGCAGTTTCTTTTGGAAGAACACAAAGCGTTCCACCAAAACACCCTCTGCCAGTAACAACTAAAAAAAAAAAAAACAATTTTGAGTTATGTATTTGCGTGGAGTAGTGTACCGCTAAACAGTACGACTAAAGCGTATTCGCATGGAAAAAAGAATTAAAAGTGTTCTCAAAGATGAAAGGCATGACGGCCTAGTCCTTTCGGAGGGCTGTGCACACGCTGGCGACAACAAGCTTCCACTGCGAAGGCATAGGACTTGGTCCGCTGCACCGACGAGGTTGTCGCCAGCGTGCACAGGCCTCCGAAAGTTTTGTCAGACGGTTGCGCTAGGCTGTTTAAACTGTTCGTCCACATAATATGGTCAGAAGGCGGAAAACAGTTGCTGCGCCATCGCACATCGTCCGTACGGCTGTCTCCGATGCCTCCACCTTGCTTTGGTACCGACAACGCTTGCCAACATTAAAATGGCAACGCTCTCAGTGTTGTCAGACCACAAAGCAATTTCGCATAAGGCAGCAATTCAGCTCAAATATTTTTTTTTACTCCCAGTGATATACTTTTTTTATGCCAAATGTGTTATTAAATGTGTCAAAACCCAAAACATAAAAATCAACTGAAGCAGAACTCAATGCATCAAATGGAAATAAAAAACCGTAAATCTTTTTTTGGTTATTGTTTCCTGTCAACGCTTACTTTTACCAACATAGTGCTACACTCTAAGAAAAAAAAAAAAAAAAAAAAAAAAAAACGTGCGTTTACTTTTTCGCACCACACTCGGAGAGCCAATCATTGCGAGTTACGGAGGCAGCTCAGCGAATAACGACGCCGAAACATATGTTTAGACCGAAAAACGCCGTAGGGGTTAAGCAATGCAAAACGTCACGCTTGCATTGCGTAATGTCACAACTCAGACTGCGTTTTTTGGTCTAAACATATGTTTCTACATCGTCATTCGCTGAGCTGCTTCCGTAACTCGCAGTGATTGGCCCGTCGAGGCTTGTGTGTGAAAGTAGACGCACGGGCTTTTTTTTTAGAGTGAAATTTTTAACAGTATGTTCTTTTTCGACCCTTGTGAGTTGCAGGCTTTTTCCCTTGTGTAATTGTCTTCACTAAAAAGTAAAAAAAAAAAAAAAAGAAATCCACGGCAAACCTTTTGCTGTGACGCAGCGATATGAAAAGAATTACAGTATCTTATATTTTAAAGTTTGGCGAGCAATTTTTCTTACAATATTTTGCCACCAAGGGGAGAGGGGCAACGGAGCAAGCGCGTCGGTTCTACTGCAAGAACGACGGTCGCTTCCCGCAATGCTTGGATAGAAAATGGCGTACCCATGCCATTCACACGATTACCAGCGACCTCCGCGCTTCCCCGTGCCCCGTTATTCGGCAGCACCATGGGTTGCGGAATGAATTTTACGACAGTGTGAAATGCGGGACATTTTGAAGATTTTAAAATTTCTTCCGGGACGCGGGACACGAGCCCTCAATGCGGAACAGTCCCGCGAGTTGCGGGACGGGTGGTCACCCTATTCTTCAGTGGAGAAAAGTGTAGGGCGGTGCACTTCCGGTCGTATCTCAATACAAATACCGGAAGTACACTACCCTACACTTTTATGCACAGGTGCAGGAGGTGCAGGTAAATTGAACGAAGCTACTGTTGAAACCGTTTTTGCAATATATCTCCGTCAAATATTTTGTTCCCGATATTGTGCTTGCAATCGTCTCGAGATATCGGCCGGTCTTACTTCCTACTTTTCCAGAAATTTTATATCTGCACCGCTGCTCCACAGTCTGACACACTGCTCGAGGCCCTGAAAGCTGGAACTGTTGCGCATGCTTTAAACGCATTATTCTGGGCGCCGTATATTCGATAAGGATTACGTTAACACCCACCGCATGTTACGTCAAGCCACACTTGTTCAGCGATTTCTTATGAACAAAAGTACGTGCCAAACTTGAACGGCCCTGGTAGACTTTATATTTCACTCAGTAACTGTTATTTCGTCTTGTATCCTTCGCAGGCTGCCATCATGTATCGCGGAAATCTGTCCGGTGCTGGAGCGTACATTGGCAATGGCTACGTCCTCACTGCAGCTGGCGTTGTTGGAAGCGAGTGAGAACCTCCGCATGACCATAGTTGTTCAAGGGACGTTAAAGGGCAACTCGCGGTCAATATTTTTGAATTTGAGATTACGTCGGTTTTCAGCTTAAAGGCCGACGACCAGACATGAGATTCTGCAAGGCAGAAGATCCTCCTGACCATGGTGGAGGAGGAAACAGGCGACGGTGGACAGGGTACAAGAGGGGAGAGGAGGGAGCAGGGGAAAAGTGGAAGGCGCAAACTGGTCGCCGGTCTTTAAGTGGTGTCCCTGACTTAAAAGGTATAGTTATTTTTTTCTCGATATTGCGTGTAGCTTTATAAATATCGCGGCTCCAAAGTTTGGTTTCGGCCGTCTACGGCAAAACTGAAACTATCTGCTCAAGGGATGGCAACACTGACCGTCAACCGTACGACTACGACGTGACGTCACCGTGGTGCTGCGGTACGCGGTACAACCAATCAACTATCGCTCCACTGCGACGTGACGTCACAAGGGTACTATGCCAGTGTTCCTTGACTGAAAGCTAACCCGCTTGCCGCCCACTAAAGAGCAGCTGGTCGCATCGTTAAAATCGGTGTTAGTGGAGTACGCGGTTTCACTTTGACGTAATATTTCTGCTGTGATCATATTTCGTGCCACTAAAGCGATGGTAGTTATTTATTCTGGTTTCGCTCTCGATCGGAGTTGACCTTTAATGGGGCACGGACACCCCAAAGGTCATTTTTTTTTTATTTATTTTTTTTCTAAAACGATGCAAATTGTAGTCCTTGACACGCACAAAATGCCGCAACGTAAAAGAAAAAAGCTCCCCTACACGAGCGCGCCTTTTTTCATTTTTGGCGCCCTTCTCTCCAGCTCCTAGCCGTCCCAGCCTCCTCGCTTTTTTTTTAGTTGAGACGTCAAATATCATTAAATTTAGAAGCTCTGTAGGCTACATTTCTATAGCATTTAATAACGGCATTCGTGAAACACGGTTTTTAACGCAATTGCGAACGCACTACGGTCATTCTTTTTGAAATACCGAAAATCGGATTCCGGTGTGATGTCGCCTCCTGGTTTTTAATCCCCCGTCGCAAAAAACATGGCGGCGCTCGACGCATGCAGCAGAGGGTGATCAGAGGGTCGGGAGATCGGACGAAGTGGTCTTTTTTAGGTGACCGACGACCTCTCAGACTTCGAAATGGAAATCGTCAAACGGTCGAAACAACTGGAGTTGGTGTCTGTATCGTGGTTTCGGTTGTGACTCCGCCGGGGCAGCCTTTCACGCAGAACCGGCGCGACATGGGCCCTCACGTCGCTCACAAAAGTCCACTGCTCGTTCTCTTTGAGCTCACACCGTTTAAAAAAATTTGATATCGGTGAAAGGACCCTAAAATAACTTGAAACTCGAAAGTCAAGCGTCGTCTGCTCGCAGCCGGTTGTTCGCGGGACGTCGGCGAACACGACACGTCGGAGGCGTCAGAGGAACTCGACTCGCAGGACGGCTCAATATTTGACGTCACTGCACTAGCTCGGATTGCGCGGGAACTTCAAATTGGGCACTTGGACATATTTTTTTTTTCCTTTACTTTACAAATACTGATTTCCCAAGTTTCGAATTTTGAGGGTAATGTCGAGGCATCGTTTTCAATCGTTTCAAAAAAACAAAAAAAAAGAAGATTTAGACGTGTTAGTGTTGCTACAAGTGTCTTCCTCGAAACCATGACGTGGTTTAATATGAATCAAACGCGCTTAGATATAGGATATCTCCCAATAAATTCTACCATTTTTAAGGGTTTGGGGGGGGGGGGGGGGGGGGGGGGAGTTACATTTTGGTACGGCTGGCTTGCGTCTTTGGGAAAAGCCGTGAAGCATGCTCGTGACGTAAGGCAGGCTGTAGCCATTCACACGCTCTGATGGTTGTCCGCTATTGTTGTTCGTCCCTACCCTAAACTCCCGAAAAAAAAAAAATAAAAGAACAGGAGACGACAGCAAGGAGGCCAGTCGTTTTGTTTTCGTGGTTCATGTCCTCGCTGAAAACGCGCACGTTCGCCTAAATGTTCATGTTTTCTTGGAAAGCGTGCACTTTTTTTGTTCACATTAAAAAGCGTGTTTCGTACACGCGCCTCCGACTTTTTACCGCCTCCTAAAAACTGTGCCCCCAGTTTCCGCCTGACAACGTCGTGGAAGCGTCACGCTGTCGCCGCTCGCGATGCTGGTGGTGTTCCAGCGGCGGGGGTATAGCCGTAGCATAGACGCCTGTTCAGCTGCAGGTCGTTCCCCCGCTTGACAGTCTTCGGAAGCTTGGGCAGCCAGGAGTTGAGAGTCCACAACAGCGATATTCAACTTCGCTCGTACATTTTACTAGGATTCCGAGCACAACCGCCAGGATCGTGACATCCGGCAACATGACACGCCGGCTCCTGTGACGTCATGTGTTGCCACCTGGGGACCACTTTTGATATATGTGCGGGATAGGGCGCTGGTAACACTAGTCGTAAGCACATTCTAAGCACCCCAGTGTATATATATTCTCTAGTATTAACTGCGTACAATTTATAAGGCAGGCCCCAAAGATTTTGTGTCCGTGGCATGTGGCCTCGATGACGCTACATCATAACGTCACGTGACTGAGTCATGTGACACCGTGGCATCACTTGGCACCATGACGCTACGTGACGTCACAGTATCACGTAACAGCTTCGTGTATTCAGAAAGCAACCAAAAGAAAACTCTCAATGTGGCTTTAAGTGGCCTCCTTACTGTGCCCGCATAAGGAGGAGCGCTACAAATGTTATGCCTTCATGGCGCTCATTTGGGAACTGCCAAAGAGACAGTCAATTTTATTTTCGTCCTCCTGCGTACACTCTTCCAAATCTCGGGCAGGGCGGTGGGCCACCCTGAGCGCCTGCGGGTCCTCTTGGGCGCGCACGACCTGAGCCGTCCGCAGAAGCAGAGCGCGGCCCACGCCGTGAGCCGGGTCCTGGTGCACCCGGGCTACAGCCACCCGTACTTCGATGCCGCCCTGCTGCGCCTGGCCCAGGAGGAGGGCAAGGACGCCGCCAGGCCACTCTGCCTGCCAAGTTCCGGAGACCACTACCCGCCCGGAAGCAAGACGCTCGTGGCGGGATGGGGACGCGTGCACACCTGTAAGCCCCTGTGATTCGTACGCGCTTCCGGCCTATAGACGCTTTACACACGCGCCGAATTACGTCCGCCATTGCTGACCTTCTCTTGTTTTACCGAGACACCGAGACACCGAGCCATCAAAGACGGGCGTTGACGAGTCTGCAGAAAGACCAGTGATGGGGGGAAGGACACGGTAGAATCTAAAATAGTAATGACCTGGCCTGCTATGTTAATGACGAAGTGAAGCGAACGGAATAAGAGGAAACAAAAACTGAAGGTCGGTTATGGCGGCGCCCATGCACAGCTGCTGCTAAGCGTCTATAAATTACACATCACCGGCAGTAAAAGCCCTTCATCAAATGCACGCTTCCCGCTTTCTCGAAGTACCGAGAAACATTGTTGTGCGATGGCGCGAAGCAGGTGCCTCGAGCGAGTGCCGCCAGTCGCTTCCAAGGGCCGTTTATTTCAGTGGTGCGCATCCATTTGCTTGCGAGAGCTTCACGAGGCTCGGGCATCTGTCCTTTGGCATATTGGACGCTACCCGCAAGACAACACAACTTGCAGGACCGCGGACGGCTTAATGACGTACAAAAAGTTAGGGCGCAAACCAGCTGGTGAAAGTTTCACATAATTTTAGACAAAATCCCCGAGACTGAGGAAAAGACGAAGGACAACACAACACACAGAGTCTCAAACAGACCTGGAGTTTATTCCAGATAAAGTTCAACATGATAAAACAGCGCACAGAACACGGAGGAAGAGAAAAAGACAGGTAGAACGAAAGAGTGCTGACTCCCAACTGATTTATTTTGAATGGGGAGAAAAAGAAGCCATAGAAATGAACCCACGCGATAGGTAATAAGGAAAGGAAACAGAAAAAGAAAATATAAACGGACTGGATTAATTTGAGGTAAGAAGGAGAAGGAAGAAGGGAAATCGTAAAGCCCAACCGTGGAACAAAAAGGAGAGAAAAAAAAAGATTAAGACGAACTGAAAGGCAGCGACGAGTACGGAAGACCCCACGCACGGCTGTCGCCGTGCGTGGGGTCTTCCGTACTCGTCGCTAGGCCTAAATTGTCATTGGGGCTCCGTGGATGGAGCGGCGTTGCTCTACGCCGCGCTGCCAGTGCTGGTGCTGGTGCCAGTACTGGTGGCCCTCTCGCTTTCGCTCTGCGGGTCAGTCCCAGACACGAAGCTTTGAGGCTCTCCGGCGTGGGCCGCGGCGCCCGAACACACGTGTGCTGGGCTGTACACGTCTGTTTTTGTTCTTTTTTCCTCGGGCGCGTAAAAGCCGAAGTCCAAAGTCCACTCGTCGAACAGCGTTCACCCGCACGTTCTCCCATTTCCGGTCCGTTGGAAACTTGCGAAAAAGCACCTCCGGGTTGCGCAGCGGGTTGTTTGAGCAGCCCACAGCGCTACAAGTTGTACTCGGCATCTTTCGAGGAACAGCTGAGCAGTCTTGGGCGCACCGAGTTGCTCACTAAAACGAGTCTTGGAGTCCTCACAAGCAAATAAGCAAAAAGCTATACCGAAGCTGCACGGGCTACAGATAAAAGCAACGGCTAAATACGCCAATCACATGCCGAAGTAGCGGGGGTAGCGGCTCAAAGAAGCGCACTCCGCGCAACGCCCGGACCGGAGGAAAAGAAAGAGAACGATACTGACGTCACGGCCCAAAGTTGCTTTAGCGATCGGCAACCCGCTGGCCGCCCGCTAAGGAGCAGCGGTTCGTGGCGGGTCGCATTTTTATTATCGCCATTAGATGAGAATGCGGCGTTCCCCGGACGTAATATTTTGGCTGGGGTCGTATTTTGTGTCACTACAGCGATATCAGTAATTTATTTCATTTTGAGTTTTGGCCGGAGTTGCCCTTTAAAGATCGCAGGCGCTTCCTCGCTAAAAGTTGCTGTCGCGCCGCCGTTCTATCGGCGTGCGATTGCGAGCAACGAAGAATGAACCATTCGCATGGGACGTCTGGGAAAAGGAAGCCCCGTGTTTTATTTCGTCAGCCCTTTTATAGACAATCCTGCGGACGTCACCGATAACCAGAGCACACCACGTGTAGCTTTGTCATTGTCACACTGTCACACTGTTACACTGTTATCACACTGATAACACACATCCCTTTCTTTGGAGGAAAATAATAACATGTTAGCAACCAAAAATAATACGTTAGAACTGAAACACTCTTCAGGATACCGCTTAATCGTCAATCCCCAGTCTGATCGGTTTCTTAACTACTCTACCTGATCTTGTGGTTACGACGGTCGTCGGTGTCCTCGTAGTCACTGGAGAAGGATCGCAACTTATATCGCTTCTAGCTTCCGAATCTTGGACCCTTACGTCACTCTCACTGTCCGGTATATCGCCTTCATCGTCCTCTGCCTCCGCTGGCAGTACCTTTAAGTTTCGGCGGTTTCGCCTTAAATTCACCCCTGGCTTGGTCTCAACCAAGTAAGACCTTGGTTTTTCTGTTTGGGCCACGACCGTTGCCCTTGCCTTTCTGTCAGAAACCCACACTTTGTCGCCCGCCTTCAACTCAGAAAGCTCCGTAGCCCGATGGCGCCTATCGAAGCTTTTGCGCTGCTTTTCTCTTAGTTGACGATCCTTTATCGCCAAAATTTTAAAGTCAACGTTCCTTTGAAGGCGCAGCTGCGGAAGCATTGGTACGCGTGTCCGTAGACGTCTGCCCATAAGGATTTCTGACGGGCTTTTCCCGGTAATCCCTGGGGTGGCCCTATAGGCTAGGAGAGCTAAGTAAGGCTCGGCTGATTTGAGCACCAGCCGCTTAATTGTCTGCACCATTCTTTCCGCTCCTCCGTTGGCTTGAGGGTGCCTCGGGCTTGAAGTTACGTGTTGGAAACCGTATAGATTCGCAAACTCTTCAAAATTACAACATGCAAACTGTGGACCATTGTCGGAGACAACAGTCTCTGGCACCCCATGACGAGCGAATATGCTTTTAAGCCTCTCTATAACAACGGTTGCGCCAGTCGAAGGGAAAACACAGATTTCCGGGTACCTTGATAAATAGTCTACAACCACAAGATAGTCAGAGTTCCTTATTTTGCACAAATCGACCCCTACTCTTTCCCATGGAAAACGTGGAGTCATGGTCGGCATCATCGGTTCAGCCTTCTGAAAACTGAACTCGGTACACACATTGCAGTTTTTTATCATCACTGCTAGTTGCTTGCTTAGGCCAGGCCACCAAACAGACTCTTGTGCAAGAGCTCGACATCTGCTGATTCCTTGGTGCCCATCGTGCAGGCAAGATAACACTTCCTCACGAAGTGCCTGGGGAACAACTAATCTTGTACCTTTTAACAAAAAGCCATCACACACAGTTATGCCAGCCCTCTTGCCAGAACTGACGAACGGAGCACGGGACGGACGGTTTTTTAGGCCAGCCCTTACGAGACAGCTGAGCCAGCGTTTTACACACTTCGTCTGTAGTTTGACTTGTTTTTTACACGTGACAACAAATCGTCTCCTGTTTCAAGACCCATTAAACATCCCTGAGAGAACTTTAACACCTCTTGAATTGTAAGACGTTCCCTTTCCATTGGCATTTGATTGAGAGGTGCCCGCGACAAAACATCGGCATCGGCAAAACATCCAACTTTTTCCTGTTTCGCTTTCCTCCTCAACTCATAAATCGCGCATTCCACCAAACAGTTCAAGAAGACGAAAAGAAGGGAGGCCCCCCCGCTCGGAACCTGGTTCGTGTAATCCCCGGACACATCCATTCTCCCCCTAGAAGATTAGCCCGTCGCTCAAAACTCAGACAGAAGTTTCTTTCCCTAGCCCGTTCACCCCTAAGCTGACAGTGCTGTGGAAGCTACGTGCTCCTTGGGCTCACCACACTTTTGCCGCGTAAGTGTGGCAAATGTGGCTGCAGAGAATGAAGTCAGGTGATGAAACGGAGGTGGCTGATTGGTCCGGCAAGCGCGTAGCTTCCACCACAATGTCAGCTTAGGGGTGAAGGTACTAAATGAGGTCCGGTTTTGTGTGACGTCAGTTTGGACCCGATGACACGCTTTTGGGACCGCGGATGTATCCCCGTGAAAAGGCAGAGCGGTTACGAAGGGGAGAAGGAACGAAATAGTCCGCTGTGTTTTCAAATTTTCGCACTGAATGTCAGGCTTTTGACTTTTTACCTTTTTTCTTTTGGCCCACTGAACGATGTTCTATTAGTAAAATCCCAATCTAAAATGATTTATCCCAACCCAAAAATCGTTTCATGGGCCCTTTAAACCTATAGCGCATTAGCCTCATTCTAAACCTCTGAACTCGAGGCGGCAACACATCTATCGGACTTTGTCCCAGCAACGTAACTAGAGGCTTATGGTCGGTCTCGAACGCCGTGTCTAAGCCCCTCAGGTACTCGTCAAACCTTTCGGCAGCCCATGTCAGTGCCAACGCCTCTTTCTCAATCTGCGCATAGCGAATCTCAGCTTTGGTCAAAGACCGCGAAGCAAAAGCGATAGGCCGTCGTACCCCTTGCTGCTCTTGTAAGAGAGCGGCTCCAAGCCCAAATGACGACGCGTCTGCCGAAAGGATTGTCGGATGGGTTAAGTCATACTTAGCCATACACTCGGAAGAACAAATCATGTTTTTTAGATCGTTCCAAGCACTTTCCTGAGCGGGGCCCCAAGCCCATTCCGTGGTTTTTTTTAGCAGTTCTCGCAACGGTGCAGTTTTCTGAGCGAGATTAGGCAGAAAACGGCCCAAGCGATTGGCCATACCTAGAATGCTTCGTACTTCCGACACGTTTGTAGGCGATTTCATATCTTTGACCGCTTGCAGCTTTTTGGGGTCAGGCCTTATGCCATCTGCGCTCAGAAGATGACCTACAAAGCTAACTTCTTTTACACCGAACACACATTTCGCCCCGTTTAGTGTCATGTTTGACTCTGCGAGTCTGTCCATGACTTCTTTCACGCGCTCATCGTGTTGTGCTTTGTCCGAACCAAACACCAGGATATCATCCATCATGTTAACTACGCCAGGGAGGCCATCTAGAATCTCCCGACATTCTTTTTTGGAAGTATTCAGGCGCTGACGTAATGCCGAAGGGCAGTCTAGTGAAACAAAACCTTCCAAAGGGCGTTATGAACGTCGTTAGTTCCTGGGATGACCTTGCTAGTTTTACCTGGTGAAATCCCGAATTAGCATCTAACTTTGAGAAATACGTCGCGTCCGCGAGCAGTCCCAATGCCTGGTCTACCGTTGGGAGCACGTATCGCTCTCTCTGGACATTTTTGTTTAATTGTGTGAGGTCAACACACACGCGTACGTCTCCGGGCGGTTTTAAGACCGGAACGATCCCGGCGCACCAGTCTGTAGAACCATCGACCTTCCGGATGACTCCCATCCCTTCCATTTTTTTTTCAATTTCTTGCTTTACCGCCTCACGCATAGGAATCGGGACTCGTCGGGGCGCGTGTATAGCGTACGGGACCGCATCCCAATTCAATCGGATGTTGTATTCTCCCGGAATGGTTCCAAGACCATTGAACACCTGCGGGTACAGAACATCATAATTTTGTTTATCAAGAGACACACCATCGATGAAATTTACTACTCCCAAAGCCTCGATGGCTGGTAACCCTAGAAGTACCTGGCGAAGCGGACTCACGACATAGACAGTTTGCATCGACACTTTGTCCTTCCAGATTAACTTAGCTTTGAACTTTCCAAGTACCGTAAGGCGATTTTCTCCCGCACCAGTCAGTACTTCGCTTGCTGTTTCCAGCCTAAACGGAATGCCTGGAAACGTAGACGGTACAAGAGTGGCCTCTGCTCCTGAATCAACTTTAGCAAACACTGGTAGAGAGTTCAAGGTTATCTGGACATACCGCACTTTCGCGTCCGGAACATTTATCGCCTCCAGAAAAAGTTCGCCAGTCTCTTGTTGTACGGATGACACTTGTACCTTTCTTGGAGACGACGCCGACTCCTTCCTGCAGGCCCGGCTGAAATGTCCCTTGGTGTGGCAATTGAAGCACTTCTGTGCCCTTGCAGGACACACCGACCTTGGATGCTGGTCGCCTCCACAAATGAACACTGCTTATCCCGATGTGATGTTTCCGACCCGTAGACTTTTCTTCGAGGTGCATCCCGGCGTTGGCTCACGGCGTCTACGTTCAGGTTTTCTTTCGTCGAAGAACAGGCCTGTTGACCGGGCTCTCCTGAACGAAGTTCTCGCTGCTGCTGGTGCACCACTTCCTTGAGGCGTGCCTTGGCTAACGCCGATGACAAGGTCAGCTTGGCGTCCATTTGCAGGTTTTCGGAAAGCTTCTCGTCATGGAGCCCCACGACAAACCGGTCCCGGATCATGCGTCGCTTCATCTCACCGAATTCGCAGCGGTCTGCGAGGACGTGCAGTGCCGTAACGTACTGGTCCACGGACTCTCCTGGCTTCTGTAGCCTTCGGTGAAAACACGCACTTTCATACACGACGTTTCGTTCCTTGACGAAGTGCTCGTCGAACTTTCGCTTGACGAGGTCGAAGTCCTTTGCCTCTTCTGCCGAAAGGTCGAACGTGGCAAAAATTTCCCTTGCTTGCCGGCCCATTGTGTACAATAGCGTGCGGACTTGTGCCTCACCGGTTCTTTCGTTGATGCCTGTGGCGAAGCGGTAATCGTCGAAATGTTCTATCCACGCCGGCCACTCTGTTGTGTTGTCAAAGTCCAGCTGTGGTGGCTGTTGAAGTCCAAACGTTCCCGTAGGTGCCGGTGGTGTTTCGTTCACCATAGTCTTTTACGCTTGCTTTCGCGAACCCAGAGCCGTATATGTAGAGAGTTTGGCCATTCGTTGGGAAGTATAGGAGACAAATGAAGCGGCGCCATTGGCCGAAAGCGGGCTGGGCGTGTTCCAGGGCGTCTTCAGAAATTCGAATGTGACCAACCAGAAGCCGGAAATAATACCCTGGCGGTGGTCGCAAGAAACAAACCTGATAACTGCATTGGAGTAACTCTCGATGGCTGAAAATATGGTACACGTGATGTTTTAATTACGCTCATCCGAAATGATGGTGGAAGAGTGCGACTAGCGGAAAGATCGACATAACCCTTACGCCAAACGCCGAGCGCCGGGAATCTGCCGTCCGAGCGGTCACACTCTGTCCGCGCAAAACAGAGTTGAGCGGCGCATTCGTTTCTTACATCATTCTGCATGATCATGATGAAACAACACATGCACCCTATTTTTAACCACAAAGAGTTACTACACTTCACTCTTACGCACTTATTAAAACCATATACGAACATAGTCCTTCGATGATCGATCGGCTCAGAATTGTTTCTCGCTACCACCGCTAGGGGATTCTTTTCGGCTTCTGGTTGGTCAAGAGAGCATGCCAATCCCTCTTTCCGAGTCTGCCGCACGCCCTGGCTCTGCCCGCGCCTCCCATTGACCAAACTCTCTACATATACGGCTCTGCGCGAACCTAGACTGACGATACGCCCACTTCTGATACCATGTCGCGCCGCCGTACTATCGGCGTGCGATTGCGAGCAACGAAGAATGAACCATTCGCACGGGACGTCTGGGAAAAGGAAACCCTGTGTTTTATTTCGTCAGCCCTTTTACAGACAATCCCGCGGACGTCACCGATAACCAGAGCACACCACGTGTAGCTTTGTCATTGTCACACTGTCACACTGTTACACTGTTATCACACTGATACCACAGTTGCAATGGTTATTCGGTGACCCAGGGCTGAAACAATTTCCCCTAGGCCCTACAAGCGAGGTATACCTTTCGTTTAGATTTTCAAAAAATTAAAACTTTCAAAGGAAGCTAAAAAAATGCGAAGATTTTATCTTAAAAACTTTATCGTAAAATAGTTGAATAGTACAAAAATAAAAATCGCAGGAACTTCCTCGCTAAACGTTTCTGTGGTTATGCTGTTACCTGGGGCTTAAACAACTTCCCCGAAGTCCACCTTGCGACTAATACATTTTGCATCGGTTCTCAAACACTCCAACGTTGAAACAAAGCCAAGAATATGCGAAAATTGCATGCTAAAAGCCTTATGGATCCTCGAAGACGTCCGGGAATCCGATTACCACGTCGGCGATATGACTTAAAGGAACTGTGCAACAATTTCAGGGCTTTGCTTAAATATTTGTGGAAGTTGATGCCTGACACTTCTGAAGTGAACTACAAAAAACAGATATTGCCTGGATACCCTAGTTTTTATTTTAAAAAATGAAAAAGATACAGGTTTTCGCCACCTCTCAACTCGTACATCGTCTCCCGGGTCACGTGCGCAGTGACGTCGATAAGGTAGGCGCGGAGTTCTGGTAAAGTTCTCTCTCTAGAACCATCAGTGAGCAGTGAGAACTCATCCGCTCGCGACCGCGTGACCACGCCGAGAAATTATTAAAACTCGAACTACTTTCAATAATCCCGAGTCAAAAGTACTCCAACTCTGCATAAGGTAGCTGTATGGCCCAAGACTACCAAACCGCGACCAGTCTGTCGATTTAAAACGCGTTCCATTTCTCTGCTTGGGAAGTACTCCTGTGATCGGGAGGGAGGGGGGGGGGGGGGGGGGGGGTAGGGGAGGGAACCTCGAGCCGAAGTTTAGCAAGACCGAAAAGTTTAACACGACCGCGACCAAAAAAATCCACCTGGTCCGGGTATCGCGGACCAGGCGTATTTTTTCGGTCGCGCACCAGTCACCTAGATGTGTTTGGAGGTTTGTGTTTGTCCTTTGTCCCTCTTGTTCCCCTTCTCCAAGGATATTTTCGTCTTTTTTTTTTTGTATACTTGTTCGTGTTTTGCTCTTTTGAGTGTTTGTAAATTCGAGGTTTTGCCCACGGTCCTGTTGGTTTGTTACGAAAAAAAGGGGTTCTACGTAGTTTGTGTGTCTTATCAGGATGTTCGAGTGAATTAATTCAGGTTCAACCCAACCTATGTTGGCTTCGTGCCAAGTCCTTTGTGTAAAGAGTGTTCTAACAATCCTTCTCTTTTCTTCTGGTTTGTGAGGGCAGAAAAACCCTAACAAGCAGGAACCCTTGTGGAATAAATTTCAGCTGTGTTTGATACTCTGTGTGTTGTCCTTCGTCTTTTCTCCAGTCTCGGGGCTTGTCTAAAATTATGTTAATGACCTCGAATTTTGTAGTTTTCGAACACGCTGCTTGGTATAACCATCTCCGGAAGTGACGTCATGTGCAAGAGTCCTCTTGACCCTCGGTTATTTTCAGACGGACCGCTGAGCTCGACGCCGAACGAGGTGTACCTGAACGTGGTGCCCAGGAGCGCGTGCAGTCATCACTTCAAGAACCGATCGGTCGAAGGACTCATCTGCGCCACCAACAAGGGAAGAGACATCTGTGACGTGAGCGGACCATCATCAACATCATCACCATCATCATCACAGCCAGCCAACAGAAAATGCATTTACCTGCCCTCCCCCAATCCCGAACCTTCGTCCATTTGGTCGTCCATTCCCCACTGAATGCAGCGGGGAAATTGACATCTCGTTACTGAAGCATCAGTTCAGTCTCCTCACTAGATATTGCGGAAAAAGTAATGTCACCTGACTTTACGTCACAATACCTGCAGACTAATTTGGTCTGCCTGCTAAATTACGCAGGGAAATTGACATCACTCGACCAATAAACCGATTTGGTTTTCCCGCTAGTTTTGACGAAAAAAAATGATGTCACGTGACCTACTAACCAATTCAGTTTTCCCGCTAAATTTAGCGGGAAAATTGACGTCACGTGACCTTTGTACCGTGTCAGTTTCCCTGCTAAATTTAGCTAGAAACTTTACACAAATAAATGTTCTTTCTCACTCCCAGCAATGACTGGTTAGAAGTCTTCTAAACAATTTTAAAAGATCGCACATCCCTTAGCAAAAACTAATACGTTTAAAATATACCACATTCTAATTTGAGTGTATTTGAAATACATTTCATAATTCTAAGTACACCAAAAATAGACCAAAAATATACGCCTCTTTTCTTTTTTTACTTAGAACTAAAATATACTTCTAAAAATATTTCTGAAATACCGTTATTTAAACTACATTTGAAGTTCCCTTCATGCGTCCTGAAATATGCAAATACTAAATTAGTAGGCACAAAATACCTTTCACATAGATTTCTTAAAATATTTATTTATTTCATGCAAAATATACTCCAACCCCGATAAAAAATGCAGCGATCAAAAATACGTGCAAAATACTCTTAAAATACCTGGAAATCGTAAATACTGTTGTGTTGTACTCTAAGTACGTTTTGGCTGCAATACTTTGGTAGTTTTACTTAAACTATCAAAAGTATTGAAAAGCTCGCTTCTAGAAGTTCACTTCAAGCAGATATGGAGTACACTGAAGTGCCTAAAAACAACATTTGATTCGTTTTTCAATTGAGTCCTGCAGCATCACACTCATAAATCAGCCCAGTTTATGTTATTGTTTGCTTGTTTTCTATCAAGGACATACGTGATGCGTTTCTTGCACACCAATCACAAATGGGGTTCGGGAACTACAACCACAACACTTCCTGATGCTGGAAAGCTTCAGCGAGTGCTGTGAGCAGATATGTTTGGCGTGGTTGTGTTAGCACAATTTTAGTTCACTGAATGTGTATACTCACCATTGTACGTGATTTGAGTAGTGACTTTAATATAGTGACGTTAACGACCATATTAAATAGTCAACTAGTAAAGGAAAGCAAAATAACTACTCTAAAATATTTATTTTTCGCGGGCTCAATATTTTGCGATTTAGGTCAAATTTTGAGTTTTGAAATGATTCCCGAATTCTAATTTGCGCGACGCGTTGGGATCGAAATATAGATTTTAATGTGTTGACATTTTACCGGAATTGTTCGCGGGGCCTATTTTTCGGAATCGTAGGCGATTCGCGAAATTCGCGAAAGGTCCTGCGAAAATGAAGTCGTTTACAGTGTCTTAAAGGGGTGGTGCAACAATTTGCGGACTTTGGCTAATTAATTGCGGGAATTGATCCCGGCCACATATAAAACGAAGGACCGAAAACTATTCTTTCCTGCTTGCCCTAGTTTTCATTAAAAAAAATAAAAGAAATTGGTATCTGCGGCACCCCTCAACTCAACATTGAAGCGGCACCAGCTTCGCCTGTGACGTCATTCGGAGTGGCGTTGGTTTCCGGTTGGGTTCTTCTGGCTTCCGTTTCCCCAGCGCTCGCCGGGGCTCGCCAGGCTCGCCGCTCTCCCGCTCTCCCGTCGATTCCCGACCAACATGGTGGCGCAGCGGGCAGTCAAAGTCAAAGTCGAGGTCGAGACACTAGGAACAATAACGATATCACGATACTACGGACCACGACCAACGCACTCCGTCGAGCGAGGGAAAGACAAAACGTCCGGGTTGCTCGTGTAGCCGCCGTAGGCGCCACGGGCGTCGACGGATGACGGCGACGGCAGGTTCTGTTGACTTGCGGTAGATGGCGCCACAAATAGTTCATACCCTTTTAGCGGCAATATTAGGCTTTTGAAGCGTTTCTGCATGCCTAAACAACAAGATTTTTTAAACTTAACCTTAAATCAAGCTTACAATTGCCTAACACTATCACCTACAAAAACCACTCCGAATGACGTCACACCACAGGTTCCATTTGCGGCCACCATGTGGCCGCAGGTTGGGAAAAAAAAGGGGTTTTTCTTCTGCGATTACGCAGCAAAATAGAGGTATTTTGGGGTATGGTGGCACTTTTTCTCTTACTTATGCCGAAGTAAACGTTATAAAAAATACAAGCTGCACATTCGTTCAGTGTTAAAATCATTGCACCGCCCCTTTAAAGTGAAGAAACTGCCTTGACTCGCTTCGTCCTGAGTGGTGCTATGCAGAGAAGCAATAACATTTTTTCTAGGAGCCGTTTGTGTGGATATTGTCTCAGCGACTGCGCCGAATTATTATTAGTTGTAACAATGCTTTTTAGTTAGAGATATCATCCACGAACCTCAAAACACTGTTTCCCCTTTGACAGACTCCCGAGGAGAAGATCGAATACTTGGAACCTTAATAAGTGCAGAGATGGTCACCGGTCAAAGGATTACCTTCAATATGTAGGCTATATAAGGCTCTAGGGCAGTCAACGGGACTGTGAATCAGGTGTGTAGTGCGTCATGGTGTTTGTGTTCGTTTGTAATGTGTAGTTGTGAAATGTATTTCAAATACCACAGGAACAGCATTTATTAACAAAATCTGATATAAAAAAAATTCTATAGCCCGTTTTTAATACACAAATGGCATCTTGAGTGGGAAGGAAGTATATTTTTGGTATATCTGAAATCTGTTTTGATCCATATTTATGATGTATTTTAAATACCTTACGCGCGTATTTCGAATGCGGCCAAAATAATACAGAATAAATACAAAATGAATATTCGCATTCAATATATTTCAAATTCGTTTGAAGTACGGCCTCTTTTCGCTAAGGGATTAAATACTGCATTTACTGCACTTCCTGCATTATATCACTTTGGTCGCTGCCCATTCTTAAAAGCATTATTCTTTGAGCATTATTGACTTATGCATTCACTACCTCATTTATCTTCAAGGTGCGTAAAGCGCAATATAAAATGAGTGGATACATAGTTCGCAACAAAACGAAGTGGGGCTCCGTGTTTTCGGAATTTATTTTTCTTCAAACTCGGGGGTTATTTATCGGTGTCTATTTTTTACATTTGAATTTTTTTTTTTTTTTTTTGTGTCCAATTTTAATCTCGGAGCGAATTCGGTGTTTATCCGGCTTGTGGAGAGAATATTGCCACACTCGTCTGCGAGAACGCGCGCCCTTGACCGAATGGTTATCTTGCTCGGCTTCCACGCAAAAGGCCGAGGTTTGATGCCTGACCGCAGATGCACCTTTTTGTTGTTTCTGGAAATGCCGTGTTTTCATAAATTCGAATACCGTGTTCATTGTTCGAAGTCTGAATGTTCTACGCGCCGGTCTTTCTACGCCGATTGTTCTAGAAGCCCACGTGTGGCGAGCCGGAGCCAGTCTCGCCCCAGCGCTCGATTTTGCTGTTTCGCCGACATCCGGCGCTTGTAACGCTAACCTTCTTCTATTTTGTTTTGCGAACAAGTTCGCCCCATTAAGCGTTTAGTTTCTCCAGTTATTCGCCGCCTCACCATTTGTCATTCGTGACAAATACTACGATTTATAAGTTATAATATTTTCTCCATTAATGCTGGTAAAGGTTAGGGAACGGGGCGATGTGATTGTGATAGAAAGGAAGAACACAAACGGCAGTTCAGCGCGGCTGCGTTCCGGGTCAACGAGAAAAATCAAAGTAGGGTAGAAAATTTCTTTCCGTTAAGCTGTTTTTTTTTTTTTTTAAGTATAGCTTAGATTTGGGGTTTTCCGGTTTCCATCGATTCAGAAAAAACCGCCTTGTGGGCTAATTTGCGGCGCTTATTGGCATATACCCAAAACACGGAACCCTAATATTAAGTCAACAAAAAAGTTGTAAAATAAATCTTTTTTAAGGGGAATTACGATTTGTTTTGCGGTTATGACAGTTTTAAACTGAAGACTTGTTCACAAACTGGCGACTGCTTACAACCGGAGAGGCTAAATACCGGTTTTGATCCCTTTTAAGATTGCTTACGACTAGGATTCTGTGTTATTGGTCAATACCGATAAACACCGAAAATTAACTCCGAGACGGTTTTCACTGAATTGGTTAAAATAAAAAAAAAAAAACTTCAAAGTTAAACTCTCCTCCAAGGGGGGGAAAAAAATCCATCTTTACGAAAAAAAACTTCTTCGTCCTACATTTTTCCTCGTTGACCCGGAACACAGCCGCACTGCACTATCCTTGCTGTTGTTCCTTCCTATCAAAACCCCATTCCTTGTTCCGTTTCTTTGTCTTATCTTGAGCAGCATTACTGTAGAAAATATTATAATTTAACTTATAAATTCCCTTAGCGAAAACTAAGACGTTTGAAATATACTACATTCTATTTGGAGTGTATTTCAAGTACAGTTCTTATTTATAAGTACACAAAAAACATGCCGAAAATATTGTCACGAATGACAAGTGTTGAGGCGATAATAACTGAAGATACTAAGCGCTTAATAGGGCGAACTTGTGCCAAAAAATAAAAAGCGAACAGAAGAAAACAGAGCGTCGCGGGCGTCGAGGTCGGCGTGACAGCAGGGTCGAACGTTGGCGAAACTGACTCTGGCTCGCTACGCGAAGCCCCTTATGTACACGCGTGGGCTTCTAAAATAATCGCCGCATAAAGTTCGACGCGTAGAACATTCGGACCGACGTGTCTTTTGTTTACCCCTGTAATTTAGTGTTCTGGTAAATTCGAGAATCCTGGTGCTTGTTCCCAAGAATCGAACCCTGGCTTTTCGCGCGGAAGGCCGACACGACAACCGTTAGGCCACGCGCGCGCTGCCTACTTGGCCAGCTGCGCGCGCGGCATTACTCCTCCCTTTAAAAAGTGCATCGCCCCGATGCAACACAAAACAAAACATAATAATAAAGAACGATAAACTACAGAGTCATCTGGAACACATAAGGTCCACAGTCCTATCGAGCGTTGTACAGCTTCAGGCGCACGACGTGGACGACTTCAGGTCGTGGTGGGCGACGTGTTGATGTTCTTGTTTTGTCGGGCATCACCTCGTAGTTCAGATCTCCAAGTCGATGAAGTGCCTTGTGGGGTCCGAAATACAGCGCCCGGCTTGCGTAAGCAATTACTCTCTCCGCTCCTTCTTGTCGCTGAACGAGTACCGCACCGAGACCGGTATTGCTGGCGTCCGTGTGGATTTCTGTCTCCGCAAATTGATCAAAATGCCCGAGGACAGGGGGCGACTGGACTCGAGCCTTCGGTTGAGTTCGTCGAACGCTTGTTCTTGCTCCTTTCCCCACTGGAACTGCACGTCATCCTTCGTCAGATGCGTCAGCGGTGCAGAAATCTGTGCAAAGTCATGAACGAAACGATAGTAGCCGCACAGCCCAAGGAACCTTCGGACGGCCTTAATCTTGTCTGATGGTTGCGGGATTTCGGCGACAGCGGACGTCTTTGCAGGATGAGGGCTTACACCCTGAGCGCTCACGACGTGGCCCAAGAATTTCAGCTCATCATAGGCGAACCGACACTTCGAAGGCTTGAGTGTTTTCGGAAGCAGTCTTAATATTATTATTTTTTTTATACAAACGTGGAAACCCAACATAATGCAATTTAGAAGTGCAACACTTACCGCCAACGTAGCAAACGAACCTCACCCATTCTGTGGTGGTCTATTAGGCTGACGTTACTGATCCATTCTGCATTAACACCAATCAAGACCGCAGAAAAAAGCTTCCCCCGTCGGGCGACTGTTACGTTTGGAGCTTGCGCAAGCAAAATAAAACCGAATACACAGGCTGTCAGCCAGAATGAAACAACTTTTAGAAAATTACCCCTCAACGAGAAAGTCGTTTTAGCTCCTCTTTCATCATTATTGATTAAACGTTATGCAAAAGACTAACCACTACCACGCTCAGCTTTTTGCCAACACATTTGACGCTGTTCCATTGTGCTATCACCGAGCCGCCGGTTCCTCAAATTTTCTTGTTCTTTGCCATTACACTAGATGTTCACTTGTTTCCAAGTTAATTGAGACGTTCGAGCAGCCGGAATGCTCGAGTAGTGGCGTGGTTGTTTTTTCCCCCGGCTACAGTGGAACCACCGCGTGAATGGCAATGGGCTCGCGCGTTCACGAAGACGAAGAAGCAGACGACGACGAAGCAGACGACAGTGCGATTCTAAAACGATAAGACGACTGGAACTGCTTTTCTGCGCTTGCAGACAAACTAAGGCATCACAAAAAAAGAATCTTATGAAGAACAGACATGTAGAACAATCAAGCTGATACCGGGGCGTCCCAAACGATAATCTACGATGATGTTACGCGCAGCCCTTTGTAGCCGGGAAGTCGGAAAGGGATGACTTCCGGATCGCGCTCCTGCGCAGTTCGCTTGCAATGGTGACATCGGTCTATTGGTTTTATGGGGTAAGCGTTGATCGCCAACAGGCAGTATGGTACAGAAGACAACAAGTGGCCGGAGACCAGCGACCGAACCTTGATTAATGGGTGAGCGCTCAAAACGTTCGGAAACAACTAACCAGACAAGCGCGCGTCTAAGATCATTTCAGTTTCGTGAACATCAATCAGAGCTTTATTCTGTTTACGCGCATATTAAATTGCGATGGACCGAAATGGGTTTGCCAGCTGCAAAGGTAAACGTGCAAAGCTTTCAGAAAAAAGCGATGGAGCAGAGTTGTCCGTTACGCGTACGCACTAAAACCGCAATTAAGTCTTTCTAATGCACTTGGTCTACTTACGTTCGTTATATCCAAAATAAAGCAACGTTTAACCCACCTTAGCTGTAAGAATTAATCTTCAGAATCTACACGGAAGCTCTCGCTGACCATCCGTCGACCGAGGCAACTTTCGTATAGAGATAGTGCGATCTCGGCAGGCGGGGAGAACCGGCGATGATAACATCGACTTTTACGCTCTTACGGTTACTTTTACGCCCGAAGGCAGTTCCATGAGAATCATTCATCCATCAAGAACACACAGACCGTGAAGAAGACGCAGTGTAAAGTAAGAGAACATCTTCTTGGAGGGGGGGAACCCATGCCACTGGATCGAACGATCACCGTCGAGCGGCGGTGATCGCTCGACGTCCTGTTGCCGCATGGGGTTTAATAGCACGGCACGTTGCCTGTTTATCGTACCATCGCCGCGTAATATTAGTTCTCGCGGTACTTGTGAGCCACCGTCATTTACGTTGCGAGCCTACACAGCAAAACAATCTCCCTGTTTTCGTTTCTGAGCTAGGTGGGCCGCCAGGGTGGCGACACCCTAGCTGAAACATCCGAATAGAAAATAATTCCTATCTAATTGTCTACTAAGAAGATCAGATATATGCATGGCCTGAAAATAAGAGCAATTTACGTAGATTTTATGAAATGTAGAACCATTCTGTGGGCGTGCTTCGTCTATCAATAAAAAAAAACAAATTGCGGTGGCTTAGCTCGGCTATGCCAGGATATACGTAGCGTGAGCTTATGCGCACGAAATGAGAGGCGCTATCAAGCGGCTCCGGTGCAGCGTCAGACTTGGCTACTGCGCAACGGAGGCGCACAGCTGGGCACGCGGCGGCGCCAATGCGTCTGCTGCGGCTATGACGCCACTCCTCTGGAATGCGCAGACCGGCGAGGCGCGCTTTGCGGCGGCGGCGGCTCCGGCGCGCCAGCTGTGCGCCGTGTGACGTCAGTGCTCCTCGCGCATGCGCAAACCGGCGAGACGCGCGCGGCGGCGGCGGCTCCGGCGCGCCAGCTGTGCGCCGTGTGACGTCACTGCTCCTTGCGTTTGCACAGCACGGCTCTTTGACAGCCACGCGAAACTGCTCAACCTCGACCAGTGTAGCTCACGCTACAAAAAACACTTGAGAAACTAGTTTTTTTTATGTGGTGTTGCGCGAAATCTGACGGTGAGGGCGCTGTGTGCTGTCCAGGGAGACGCTGGCGGACCCCTCATGCAGTTCTTCGCCGGCCGCTACTACGCGGCTGGGCTGGCGAGCTCCGGCAAGGCCGGGGGCTGCGCGCAGGACGGCGTGCCCGCTGTCTTCACCAAAGTAGGGGTCCTACTCAAGTGGATTCACGCAGTGACGGGACTCCAGACGGCCTAGCCATTCCACTGAATTGCCATCCGGTCGTGCGCACGACGAACGCATGTCATCTTTCCTCGGGTGTGCGAGCGTCAAAACTCTGACATTGAGCACGAACATGTATACAAAACGCAACACTGCTATAGTCGGTGACAGGTTAAAAGTCAAGTGTAAGCTCTTCCCATCTCTTTACACTTTAGCAGAGGGAATGCTGAAGAGGGGGTCGCTTCCTCTTCAGTGGAAGCTCCTCGCACTTGAACATGACATAAAGCCCAAGGCTGCAGATGCAAACGACACAAACACTTTGGGTTTGTACTAATTGGTTTATACTCATTAAAAGATTAAAAAAGTTCTCACACTACGAGGACAAAGACGACACAAAGACAACAGAACAGGCGCTAACTGTCAACAGATTTCATCAGAAGTCGTGATCACATGTACACACCCTCCTCTGCCCGACCCGCGTCACAACCAATCACCACTAATACAAACAGCCATCCAGAAACTTCACTTCTTCTTTAAGTAAATAAATTGATGGTGTGCGAATGCAATTGTGACGTGTCTTTTTTTATATAAAACGCTTCATTAATCCTTCTTGGTTTTTGACTTTTCTTAACTTTGTCGATTCCAAGCCAGGTTCACAGCTATAGCTCCAAACACGATCAGTTCGCTCGCTCCCCGCGGGAAGAGCGGCTAGTGGCATCACTCAAATGTGTTTTTTCCGCCGTGGTCATGGCGTTCCAACCTCTGGCTGCCGAAGCTTCCGGGGGTTGTCACGTTGGAGAGTGACCTGCAGCAGAACAGGCCTCTTCCATATAAACCACCGCTGCTGGGACACCGTCAGGATCGCGACCGGCTACAACATGGCATTTCTATAACGTCATCAGGCGAAAATTAAGGGACCACTTTATTAGACGCGGTAAACCCAGGCACGATAGTACGGCGAAGGGGCGACTCGTTTTTTTACCTGGTACAGCGGTCTTGTCACTAAGGTATACAAAAACGGTCTGTAGACATCATGTAGGAAGCAAACATGATTCGGACATGCTTGAGTCCTGTTCGCAGATGTCATCACGTCTGCAGATAAATCTCCGTGTCTTTTGTATGATGTATAAGCGGCGGGGCTGTGGCTTCAAAGTGAAATGGGGTTTAGCATCACTCTAATTTAGCCTCCCATCATTAGAAAGAAAAAGAAGAAAATATAAACGGACTGGATTAATTTGAGGTAAGAAGGAGAAGGAACAAGGGAAATCGTAAAGCACAGTAGAACAAAAAGGAGAGAAAAAAAAAAAGATTAAGACGAACTGAAAGGCAGCGACGAGTACGGAAGACCCCACGCGCGGCTGCCGCCGTGCGTGGGGTCTTCCGTACTCGTCGCTAGGCCTAAATTGTCATTGAGGCCTCCGTGGATGCAGCGGCGTTGCTCTACGCCGCGCTGCTAGTGACGTACAGTACTGGGGGCCCTCTCGCTTTCGCGCTGCGGGTCAGTCCCAGACACGAAGCTTTGAGGCTCTCCGGCGTGGGCCGCGGCGCCCAAACACACGTGTGCTGGGCTGTACACGTCTGTTTTTTTGTTCTTTCTTCCTCGGGCGCGTAAAAGCCGAAGTCCAAAGTCCACTCGTTGAACAGCGTTCGCAGATGTCATCACGTCTGCAGATAAATCTCTGTGTCTTTTGTATGATGTATAAACGGCGGGGCTGTGGCTTCAAAGTGAAATGGGGTTTAGCATCACCCTAATTTAGCCTCCCATCATTAGAAAGTTTTAGTAGATCATTCAGATACCTCCAATACCCCCAATAACGATACGATGCATGGGCAAAGGCAACGCCGGAATATCGGGTATCGTTATCGGAGTCATCGAAACGGTCTACTAAAAAAAACTCTATTGAGGCTGGCGGGCCCGCGGCCGCCGATGGAGTCGCTTGGTATCTTGCTGCGTTAAAGGGATACTGAACCAAAGAATTTAGTGCCCGTAATAAGTGGCGCACGTTCTTTCCACCAGCCAGCAGCCGCCGGTGTGCGCGAGCACACGCAACAAAAATGACGTCACAGACCTCCATTCGCGGTTGAGAGGACAATGAAATGCATGGGCTTCGGACTAAAGGAGAATAAAGACAGGCTTTTCATCTCTACAAGTGAAAGCTACGTGCTTGTTAGACCAATTCATCGCTTACTTTTTACACCAGGCACCACTGTGTAGATGAAAGACTTGTCTTTATTCTCCTTTGGTCCGAAGCCCATACATTTCACTGTCATCTCAACCACGAATGGAGGTCTGTGACGTCATTTTTGTTGCCTGTGCTCGCGCACACCGGCGGCTGCTGGCTCGTGGAAAGAACGTGCGCCACTTATTATGGACACCAAATTCCTTGGTTCAGTATCCCTTTAATGTCCCTGGAAAATAATTCACGCTTAGGAGTACCGCCAAGCATTGTTGCGGAAATGCGATCGAGACACGTACCACGAGCGGGTGCCCCGCCACCATTCACTTCCAAGGGCCGCCGCAAGTTGCTTCCAAGGGCCGCTCGAGACATGGCCCTCGTGCACTGGCGCATTTGACGCTACCTGCATGACAAACGCAAACACACCGAGGAGCTTTATGCCTCGTCTCCCCGGGTCCAAACGGCATGGTATTTCCTCTGTCTCACTCGGGGAATGCGCTATCGACCGGCTTTAAAGAGCGGAACCTGGACCGGTTTTTTTTACTCCGTTGACCCTTAAGCTGCAGACTAGAAGCTCCGCCTTTAGCCCGAGCTTTCTACCCTTGCTGACACAAGTGTGAATGCGCACGCACGAGCAACCAAAGTGCTGTGGAGGCCAGCGAGCTCGCGCTGAAGGCGGAGCTTCTAGTCTCAGCTTAAAGGGGCGATGCAACAATTTTTGTACATTGCGCAAATACCGGTTAAAACGGATCCTTGACGCTAATGACCTATGAAACACCCGTTCGTTTTTCACAACACGCAATAGAAGTCCCGAAAAAAATTATAGAAAAACGAGCAGCGTTCACCCCCTCAACTCGCAGCCAGAACAAGCGGCCACGTGATCTGGAGCCGATTATATGCCGCCAAAGTTGATCACAGCCACGCGCCGGGGTTGGCAAAGCACAGGACACGCGCTGAGTTCCAGGCATTGTTATGGCTCGGCTATTGTCGTCGTTGCAGCGATTGGACACGGGTGACTAGCCGAATGCTTCTCGAGCTAGTAATTATCACAAGCCAAAATCGAGTGTCATCAACGCAATGCTCGGGTCCAGTCTATGAACCGCATTCAAATATCGTCATATGGGTGTACTGCCGATCCCCACGTTACGTCATCAAATTTTGCCAAGAAGAGATTGAATGAAAATGATCACTTTTGACCTTGAAATTACACCGTAACCAAGGCGTTTCTTGGTCAGTGGCGTTGCGTGCGAGTATCCTTGAGTCCCACTAGTGCCAGTAAGCTCGTATAAAGTGAAAAACATTCCAATTGTATATCGTTGCACCGCTCCTTTAAAGGAGCTGTGCAACGATATTCAATTGGAATGTTTTTCTCTCTACACTAGCTTACTGGCACACCTCGGACTCAAGGATACTCACACGCAACACCATTGGCCAAGAAACTCCTTTGTTGTGGTGTAATTTCAAGGACAAAAGCGATCATTTTCATTCAATCTCTCCTTTGCAAAATTTGATGACGTAACTCGGGGATCGCAGTACACCCAAGTGACGATATTTGAATGCGGTTCATAGGTTGGACCCGAGCATTGCGTGGGCACTCGACTTGGGCTCGTGACAATTGCTAGCTCGAGAAGCATTCGGGTTGTGACCCGTGTCCAATCGCTGCAACGACGACAACAGCCGAGCCATAACAATGTCTGGAACTCAGCGCGTGTCCTGCGCTTTGCCAACCCCTGCGCGTGGCTATGATCAACACTGGCGGCATATAATCGGCTCCAGATCACGTGGCCGCTTGTTCTGGCTGCGAGTTGAGGGGGTGAACGCCGCTCGTTTTTCTTAAATTTTTTTCTGGGACTTCTATTGCGTGGGGTGAAAAACGAACGCGTGTTTCATAGGTCATTAACGTTAGGGATCCGATTTAAGCGGTATTTGTGCACAGTACAAAAATTGTTGCATCGCTCCTTTAAGGGTGAACGCAGTATAGAAGAAGCGTCTCAGCTAAGACAGAGTGAAAGAAGTACAGAAGTGTCTCAGCTAGACCGGGGGCGGATTTACGGGTCAGGCCTTGGAGGGGCGGTAGGCATTCGGCTGGCCGGGGTGTGTGTGTGTGTGTGTTTGGGGGGAGTCTGCTGGGATATGACGTTACGGCCGAAACGTTGCCCATATCTAGTTTGTTGACCCAATATTTGCTACGTCACCAAAATATAAGCTTTGGCTGGTATATACCAAGGATTTTATTATTCCCCCCCCCCCCTCCTCCTCTGAATTCGCCCCTAGCTAAGACAGGGCGAAAGAAAGTACCGCCAAAGCTAGCGCACGAGCGGAGTGGCGTCTCAGGTCGAATCTCAAGCACTCGCGGGCCCCTGGCTTGGCAGGCTTTCTTTCACCCAGTCTCAGGTAAGACGCTGTTCGCAGCAAGCCGGCCCTGACTTCCCGCCGCAACGAACCGATACTGGTCCATTGTTCTCGTGATGCCTCGGAAACGCGACGCTTTCCGGGCGGCCGCTCTCTCTTCGACCAGCTAAGACACCCAAAAGGAACTCGACGCGGGCCCAGCAGCTTTTCCTGTGGACTCGGGCAAACTAATACCGCCTAGAAGACAAGGCCTGTCCATGACGTCATATCTTTTGTGGATCGCCCGACGCGACCCAAGTGGCAAACACGCTAAAGCTCGACGGCAGATGCCGCAGAGCGGTTAAACATTCAAAACAGCGCAAGGACACGGACAAGAACGAGGAGGCGGACGAACAACAGAGCTGTTGTTCGTCTAACCTTCTCGTTTTTGTCCGTGTCTTTGCGCTGTGTTTTTATACTTTTAACCGCGAAATACCTAATAACCCAAATGTCGACGTCAGCCGCAAAAGGGGCAGACGTGTCCACCATGGCGTCGGCGTGTGCTAGCGTTGCGCTCGTTGAGAGACACTGCAAGACGCGTCGCTGAATGGATCCACTTGTGATGACGTTGGGGAGGAGGCGGCGCGGGCACCGTCTTTTAAGTGGTATTGCTCGGGCAAAGCGTCCGAAGCTTCCCTTGGTTAGCGAAAGTAGACGTCGCATCGATTGCGAGCAGTGATTCGAAAGTGGGAAACACGACCGCTACACAAGCGTATACCACTTAGAGGACGATGCTCGCGCCTCCTCTTCCCCAAATCCTCATCGCTAGTGGATACACCCAGCATCCCCGCCAGCGTCTCGTGCAGCGTCGTTCTTTATTTCTTTTTTCCGATCGGGTCTGGAGGTGGGCGGGGACTAAAGGCGTGATGCCTGACGAGGTCTCTGCCCCCCTTACAGCTCTAGCACAGCCTTGTAAGATAGGACAAAACGTTCACGCAAAAAAATACCGTCAAGACAACATGATGTGAATAAGGGTGGCGATGTAGGTTAGTTGGTTCATAGTGACGAAAAGGCAAACAGCGCACAGTAAACGGGGACCAAAGTCCTGTCCTGTTTGCACTTCCTTTAGTCCCCGTTTACTGTGCGCTCTTTGCCTTTTCGACAGCATGATGTAAGGACAGGTACATAGAAACAAGTAAAACAAGCAGCCGCACAACGGTTTTGTCAGAAAAAGGTTAAAAGTCTGAGCGAAATACTTAAACACCAAATATCAAATATGAACGTAATTTATGAAATTACATAGGTTTTCTAACGCAGTGTCACTGCCTACCAAGATTTCTTTTTATCTTTCTTTTAAATTGTAGTAGATTATATTTAACATCAGTTAGTCCCTCTGTACTATTTCAAATTTTAGCGACTTGAAAACCTGCGGTTTCTCTCCCGTGTGCGTATTTTAGGAGGTCGTCTATAGGTGTGTCGAAGTGTGTAATGTTTACAGTCATCTGGCGAAATCATGAAAAGGGTTTCGTTGTGTATTTTTTGTAATAGCTGAAAATAATAGATTTGATTGACTTTGAGTAGGCCATGTTTATTGAATAATGAACCGGTGGGAGAACTTGGGTGTTACCTTTATGGTTTTAAAATATGTCGTAGAACTTTTTTTTTTGTGGGACGGCCAGTCCATTAAACTTTGTGGTCGCGATGTCGTTCCCCAAACTAAAATACAGTAATGAAGTTTTGAGAAAAATAGTGAGTAATACAAATTATTTTTTTTTTTTAGCTAAAAGGGTGCAAGATTTTGTATCTTGTATATACATCTAACGGCTCTAGATAACTCGGTGCTTAGCCTATTTATGCGAATATTCCGATTTAATTCGCTAATGAACCACACACCGAGAAAGTTTTGTTCGCTAACCTCCTCTATAATTTCATGTTTAAAACGTATAGTCACCGTAGTGTTGTCGAGTTTATTTACAGGACAGAAAATTATATATTTTGTTTTCTTTGCATTTAATTGTAATCTATTGTTTGGAAGCCATACTGAGAGATGCTTCAAATAGCTGTTTGCCGTTGATTCTAGGGATGCTTTAGAAGCTGAAGTAAAAAATGCATTAGTATCGTCCGCATACATGACAAGCTCCGGGGAGTTTAGAACACACGGAGTTTGACGCTCGGACGCTTCCGCTGATCTCGTCAAACTTCGGCCTATTTGCCGCTTGGGACGGGTCAGGGAGCCACTTACGGTGACGTCACGGGCGGGCCCTGTCTTCTAGGTCGCGTTGCTTCATTCGACGCGCGGCAGCAGCATGGCGGCGTTCCTCGTCTCTCTTGTGCTCGTGTTCCTGGCGTCGCGTCAGGCCAACGCCGTGTGTATCGTGCCAGAGGAGCAGTTTGCGGAGCTGCGGAATGCCAGCGAAGATGTGCGCAAGATCATCGCCTTCTTCACTAGCGGGAACGAGAAAGGTAACGACCCTTGCCAGTCAGCCGAATGTTTCTTGTGAGGTGTGCCAGGCTACCTAGGACAGTGGTTCTCAACCCTTGATGTTTCGCGGACCCCTTGTGGATCGGCGAGGATGACGGAGGAGCCCGTTTGTGGTGAGGGGAAGGGAAAGGTATAGGGTAATTATAGTAATGATTTGATAGATGGATATAACTAAGGGCTGGTGTGAAGAATACTTCGCTCATTGACTTAAACACGAGAAAACTCACCCGAAAATGGGAACATTTCTTAACAACCTGAATGAATACAACATTTATTGCCGGGCTTGACTGATGAGGCAGCTTCGGGGACCCCTATTTGAGGACGACTGACCTAGAAGACAACGCGTGTGCCCTATCCCCCTCGCCATAAACGTGTCACCACTAGTCGATCCACGCAGTGATACCTATACTTTGCGTTAGCATCTCCGGCAGCGCGTCTTGGAGCCCCTCGGAACGAGCACGACGATAGCAGGCACCGTCGCCAAGACGGACGCGTCTGCCACGGCGATTGTCGTCGAGCTTCAGCGTGTTTGCGGCTTGGAGCGGGATCCACTAACGATGACGTCATGTCCAGGCCTTCTTTTCCAAGTGGTATTGGTGGCACCCGAAGAAGCGCGCCGCACGCGGCTCATCGACACGCTGGCTACTCCTCAAGGGCCACGGCCTACTGGGCGACTTCGACGGATACCACTTAGACGACGGGGTCGGCGCATTCCGTCATCGTTAATGGATCCCCGACCCACCCTGAGCGGCAGAAACGCTGAAGCTTGACCCGAGTAGCCACAAAGCGGCAGACGCGTGTGTCTTGGCGTCGCCGCGTGCTAGCGTCGCAGTCGTTTTGAGACGCTGCAGGACGCACTGGTAGCGATGCTGACGCGGCTATTGGTGACTCCAGCGAAATCGACGCATTGTAGCGGTAACGCCGAGAAGCTCAAGAGAGGAGGTCGTTTAGACTCTGTCGTCTGCTATCGCTACTTGGTTCTCGTAGGCAGCATATAGAAACCCAAACCTCGTTTCCCCCCACTCGTCCCGCAGTCGTGGCCGAGTGGTTAAGGCGATGGACTAGAAATGCATTGGGGTCTCCCCGCACATGTTTGAATCCTGTCGACTGCGCATATATATATATATATTTTTTAACAGACAGATGGGATGGCATCGATGTGAGCACGGACGCCGGACGGACAAGTCTAGATAGACACTAAGGAGCTTCACCCCTAAAACGCTGACACTGAGGAGAATTTTTAAAAGCTATATGAGAGGTCATTGGGATATATAGACGCTTTCAGCGAGTCAGTTACTCGAGCTGCCACCAGTCGGCGCGCCCTTCGCGCGCTTTCCGGGCCGCCATAGCCGACCTTCAGTTTCTTGCCGTTGCTCCGCGTTGTGTGTGTTATGATGTCATGAGGCTTTCTGATCTTAGAAGAAGAGGACATCCAGTGAGCACGCTCGCAGGAGGTGGCACGCGCGGTTGCGTTTTGGAACTGACGTGCAATCGCCATAGCTGCGGCTTTGATCCCGTATGCTACTAATTAAACAGTTTGCTTAAACCATTCTCCTCAGCGTAACTAGCAACATAACATGGTGTCAGAAGTGGGATGCAGCTCAACGTCCATATTTTTCATTTAACAAGCAACAGCAGCAACAATATGGCATCTGCTTTCCTACAACCGCCGGCTCCGTTCCAGCCTGGTGACGACCCAGCAAGAGCATGGGAGGAGTGGAAATCATCGTACCTTATCTTCGAGGCAGCCTGTGAATATGCATCCAAGCCTATCGCAACTCGGAAAGCTTTTCTGCTCCACTGCCTTGGACCTCAGGCAAGACGAATTACGCAAACCTTTCCTCTGCAACCAACGGGAGATGGTCAAAGCGGGCAAAGAGAGAATGCAGTAGATCAGATACTGCACGAATTTGATAAACTGTATGCACCTTACAAAAGCGTCACACAAGCGACAGCCATTTTTAACACAATGAGCCAAAAGCCAGAGCAAACCATTGACGAATTTGTAACTGAGCTAAGACTGCAGGCTCAGAAATGCGACTACAGAGCTCAAGAAAACAGGCTCATTGGTGATCGTATCATCATTGGGATACGAGATGTGGCTTTGCGCGAACGATTGTTTCGTGAACCGAGTCTAACCCTAGACAAAATCATTTCAACCTGTAAAGCAGCTGAAATCTCAAAGAAACACGTGAATGATATTCAGAAAACTGAAGACGAAGTTAGAGTTGATGGACTTTATCGTCAGCCATCTAGCTTCAGAGCAGCGCAACGAAGGCATCAACCATCCGAACGACAAAAAGACCAATCCAGCAACCGACAGCAAAGTTCATGTTCGAGATGTGGTACTTCCCATCAACCCCGAAACTGCCCAGCTTACGGAAAGCACTGCCTTTCCTGTGGAAAGTTTGGACATTTTTCCCGAATGTGCAACCAGACACAGCAGAAAACCTACGGATATCGACGTGTCTCTGCAGTAGAAGAAACTTCCAACTCATTCATGAACAATGACCGCAATGAAACGATCCATTTGGGAGGCATAGCAATTGGGCCTCTTCCATCAACCAAAGCAACCAAGTTTGCGCAAACTGGGACAGAGCTGGAGAGGCGGTCAAAGAAAAAAAAGGGCATGCTGGCATCTCGCTCAGAAGAGGGACAAGGCATGATTTCAGAGTTGGTGTTGGCAAAGGCAGAAATGCAGCGAATGTCTTTGGAGCACGAGAGAAATATCGAAGCGAGCTTTGGCCGTGAGCAGGCCCTTCAATGCGAGTGCAAGGCAGCTTCGGCTCTCCTGGGGAAGATGCAAGCGCAGCAAGCAGAATTTTCTCGTGCCAAGTATCAGGAGTCTGAAGCATTGAAAGCCCAGTTAGTTTCTCTAAGTGGGGATTTGTCAAAGCAGCTGGAGCTTGTAGATGCCAAGGTGGAGGAAGCGAACACCCTGAAGGAGAAGTTTGAAGCATCCCAGCTTGAGCTCGAAAGGTATTCTGCCGAGTACTGCATCTTGCAAGATGTCCTTCTTCAAGACTGTGGCGAGGACTTGCCGCTAGTTCAGAATGATTCCGAACAAAGAGAGTTCAGTGCCTTTCAGTACCTCAAGAAGCTGTTGGACATCGCAAAACGCAAAAGAGAGGCCCTGGAAAACCAGCTTGCTAAGAAAGAGGAGCAGTTCAATCTACTTCAGCAAAACTATCAGTACTTAAAGGACCGGTACCAGTGGCCGTTACAAGATCTCGGGGCATTTATCCGGAGCATCATCGAAGCATTTGTCCGGAGCATCATCGAGCACACCAACCAGTCGTCAGAAGCTGCAGTGTCTCTTGAAGCAAGTCAGCTGGAAGACTTGAACCGTATGCTGGCAGTGCTTCAGGAACGGGTCACATCCTTGACAGTTAGGAACGAGCTCCTCGCTCAAGAAAGTCAGCAGTGGAAATCATCTGCGAATGAAAAAATTAGATGCGTGTCAAATGAAAGTCGCCTCTGGCAGCAGAGACACGAAAAGGTGGCGGAGACTTTGCGAGAGAGAGAGAATGCTGTTAGGTGTAACAATTCGTCGCAAACGGAAGCAGACGGAAGCTCCTTTACCGAGAAGGCAGAAACTGAGTGCGAGAGGTTAGACGAGAAAGTCAGCAGCCTCCTAAAACGCAACGGAAAGCTAGAAAGCGAAGCCGACGTTTTGTTGTCAGAACTTTCCTGCCTGGAGGAGCAAGCTGAGATGCTCGTCAGCGACAACAAACATTTCCAACAGCTAGCTGAGAACTTCAAACAGGCACGACATTGCCTCGAGGAGGAGTTGAAGACTCAGCGCGAGCAGCACGTCAAGGTCACCAAGGAGATGGAGAACGATCACTGTACTGCGCTGGACGAAGCGGCCAAGTGTGAGGCAGCACTATCAGCGCTGAAGACAGACCACTCCCAGCTGTTGGAGAAGTATAACCACATTGTATACAGACACAGGAACCTGCAGGAAGAGTTTCACGCGGCAGCCCAAGAGAAACGCAGTTTGGAGGGCAGGTGCGCTCAGCTCACAGAAGAGGGGGCAACAGCCAGACGAGCTCTCGCAGTCTTCAAGGAGCAGCAGGGCGCAGTGAGACAAAAGACCATGCAGGAGCTGCAAGAGCTCTGGCAAGCAAACCAGCAGCTGCAAAAGCGCTGTCGCCTCTTCAAGGACAAGCATCTCAAGGCTGAAGAACGGTTGGTACAGGCGCCAAACCAAAAAGTGGAAGCCTCGATGGAACATGTCACCGAGGGCACTGGGGGTACAGCGAGAACTTTGGAGGCACCAGCAAGCCGAGTCGAGATAGAGGAACTCTCCCGGCGGTATGAGTCCCTTTTGGAGCAGTCTCGTGCCGAGGAGAATAAGTGGAACCAGGACAAGCAGCAGCAGAAACACATCGAGGACTTACAGGCGCAACCGGTACCACACCAAAGCACATGGAACAGCAGAAACGAATACAGCTGCTGAAAACTATTTCCCTACAGTCTCAAACGAAGCTGCTGAAGACTATGTCCATACAGCTTGAAATGACGAATCACTTGAACACATTTCCACGTCTACAAGGTCAACAGGATAACCAAAAAACAACAAGAAGTCGACGCGTCGTGGTGAAGCCGCTACGATACAGAGACTGACAAGTGCCGCGATCGCATTGCGTTATTTAAAAAAAGAAAAAAGAAGAAGGGGGGCATGTTATGATGTCATGAGGCTTTCTGATCTTAGAAGAAGAGGACATCCAGTGAGCACGCTCGCAGGAGGTGGCACGCGCTGTTGCGTTTAGAACTGACGAGCAATCGCCATAGCTGCTGCCATGATCCCGTGTGTTACATATTAAACAGTTTTCTTAAACCATCCTCCTGAGCTTAACTAGCAACATAACAGTGTGCTGCACAGGCCACTATCGGAGCTTCGTTTTCGTGTTCATTTACGTTCCGCGTTGAAATCTTGTATTTTCTTTGGGTCTTCTCGATATTTAGGACTTTCATT